GAAGAAAATGAAAGTACCACTTTTTTTCTCTGCTCCATGCCACCCATTCAGATCGTTATGCTGAGGAAATACTTCCTGGTCCAGATATCTACTGCTCCCACCAGACCTCCAGGAAAGCAACGTTCCCCATATTGCTGGCACCTGGCATGTAGCAGATGCTCAATTAATGTTTGATGAATTGGATTGAATTGAATTTCTTTCATGCCATGGAAAGGTGGGCAGCTGCAGAAGAGGGAAAAGGCTGTTGTGGTGAAGAGAGCTCAGGACCACCAAGGTCTGGGTTCCCATCTTAGCTCTACCACTTCCTAGCTGTGTGATATTGGGTAAGCTGCTTAACCTCTCTGGTTCTCAGCTCCTTTTTCTGTAAAATGGGGATGATGACTGCTACCTCCCTGGACTGCTGCCTGGATTAGGTGAGTAATGTACACACCTAGCACAATGCCTAGAACATAGTGGTTGCTCAAAAAAGGATAGCTTCCTGACACTCTTCCCTAAGCCCCACATCTTTTCTTCAAATGAGCTCATTAGAAGGGGCAGCTGGACATCAAAGACAGTTCCAGAGAGTGGGCCCATGTCCTCAGGCCCTTGGGGCTAAGGTGAAGATGTAATCTGGTGGAGAGCTGGCAGACAGGGAGATCCAGCTGAAGTTAAACAGATCTCAGGCAGTTGGTGGGAGTTGGCAGAGGCAGGACACCAGGGTTCTGGGAGTTTCCATCCAGGGAAAGTCCCAGGAGTGGGTGTGGGGATGCTAGGCTGGCCCTGTCCAACCCCCTGGTTCTTGAGGATGCTGGCACAGGGAGGAAAGTGGGTCACAGCAGGGCTGAAACTTAACCCCATTGGTCCCATGACCTTTGCTAGCTCTGGAGGAGGCAGAGCCACAAAGAAACCTCCTCTCTCCTCCAAAGGGTCCTCAATTCCTTTTCTTCAGAAAGGAAGAACCTTGAAACCTTGATGTCTGGGCAGGAGGAACTGGAAGCCCTCCAGAGGACAGAAGAGAGATATCCTCCTTACTCTTGGACTGAAGTTCTGTACAAAACAGACTGCTACACCTACCTACATGATGCCGATCAAACACCCTGGAGCACTCACCTCACATGCTCTCCAGGCCACTGTGGAGGCAGTGCTCCTAGTTCCAGGGAGTGGGACAGGTCAGGGCTGGATCAGATTTGGGGAGGGTGTGTGATGGAGCAGCTCAGAGAAGACTTTTCTATCTGGGGAGGCTCTAGCTGGGCAAATGCAGGAGCCTTTCACTCTGGGGGATTTGCCAACAATGTGGGGCCTTGTTTTCTGTCTATAATCTCAAGCCTAAGTCTATGGATTCCCCTTCCCATCAGTGCCTCTGTTTCCTTTTTTGGAGAAATAAGTGAAGGAATGGATTGAATCATTCCAGGGCAGGGTTACAAGGTATTCCAGGATCCTGCTTTGATCATCAGGAAGTGCTTGCCATCCCTCTCTTGTGGCGTATCAAATTCCAGATGGGGAGCAGGAATGGAAGGACCCTCTTCTTTCTGGGAGAGGGGAATTGCTGGGAGCCCTGATTGCAGGGCCTTTGCACATATTCTTCTGCTGCCCTCCCTTCTCTCCACTCTCCCCTCAGTTTTTCCCAGAAGCCTTTCCTGTTTTCCTGGGCCAAGGGAAAAATCCTACTATCCATTCTCATAGGACCTTATGCCTATGCATGCTGGTTATCACTTGCAATTTTGTGATTATTTTGTTAACCTCCAACTCCTCCATCAGACTGTGACCCTGCAGGGGCAGGACCTTACCTGGACATTCCCAGGGCCTAGCACAGTGTTTGGCACACAGTGGATGCTTAATAAGATTTGATGAATTAATGAATGGTGCATGTTCAGGGAAGAAATTCCTGGAGTTGTTTAGGCTAGTTCTAAAATCGTGTTTTTCAACATTAAGGCCTTATTCTATGCAGGGATTGGGCAGACATTGAGGCTAGTAAGGACCATCCACATACAAACCCACTCACCAGGAGAACCAACACACTGGCAGGCAGGGGAATAGGTGTGGTACAAGGGGCAGAACTGAGCAAGCACCCAGGATAGGGCTGGCACTAGCCTTGGCACAGAGCAGGCCTAGGAGGAGGAGGTGGGAGAGGAGGGGAGGACGCGAAAGGTGAAGACACGTGTTGTACAAAACATGTTTTCATCACACTCTCCCTGGGTTCCCTGGTCTCTAAGCTCCAATGCCTTAATGATGCCCTTGGGGGTTGTAACAGAGCTCCCCCTACCTCCTGCAGACATCTGCCAGCCACCTCTGAGCATGGCATAGGACATCCTCCCAGCATCAGACTGGGCTTAGGAAAATTATCTCTTCAGTGGCCTGCTGCTGGTGGGGTGGGGGTGAGGGTGAAAATTAGCAGGGGTAGGGAGAGACATAGTAAGGTCAGGGTAGGTGGGACAGATGTCTGGATCCTTTCCTCCTCTCAAAACCTCTCCTTTTGGTCTTTGTGAGGATGGAAGCCTGGTCCTAGGGCCCCCAAGAAATCATTTCTCCAAGTTGCCAGGGTGACGGAGTGGAGCAACCACAAACAGAGTGAAACCTAGAAATAGGGATAACCGAAGAGAAGGAGGAATGAGGGGCGCTCTCTGCACTAACTTCCACTAGCTTCCAGAGTGGGGAAGCCGTCTTCCCACGCAGCCTCCAGGAATTCCTGGACAGAATACTGGCTCCATTGCAAGAGGGAGAGAAGAATCAGAACCCCTCACAGCGTTTTCTTCTTCCCTGCTCCCCGGTCGGCCTGGTCTGATTTGACTTCCAAAGTGGTGGCTGTAGTAACAGACCCTCGTCATTGGGTCTTAAGGAGGGGCGGGGGCGGAGGGGCGGCAATCCCGAGGGGAGGGGCCGGCACAGGGCGGGGCTTCCTGGGCATCGCCCCCTGGCTGCAGTCTTTGGCTGGGGACCGAGGAGACTGTCAGAAGGGAGGAGCCACAGTTACCGAAGAGGGATGGACAGACAAACACCCAACAGACACAAAGACAGACAAACCAGGACAAACAGGAGGGCAAAGACAAATAGAATTATAGACCCTCATTCTCTTTCCAGTCCATCCCAAGTGTAGTGTCCCGTTTTAACTTTTCTGTCCCCATGTGCTCCGCCAGCGTCAGTTTCAGAGCTCCAACTCTTGGCCTCGGGGACCAGTTTCTGAGCCCCTTTAAGAAGAAGGGGGAGAGTTGACGTGGGAGATGCCCAGCAGGGAGCGCTCCACGAGGGGAGGTGCCTGGTTCTGTGTGAGGATGCCCAGCCAAGACCCTGGGAGGAAGTGGTGCCTTAGCTCGGTTCAGGCGGACAGGAGACTCATTCACTGTAAACCAAGTACAGATGTGCGGGAGGGGGAGGGGCAATTAGGGCCACATTCACACACCGCAGCTGGGCTCTCCCTCCTGCCAGCCACCACCATCAGGGCAGGAGGGGTTAACTTTGCAGTTTCCTGACAGGATCCCTGCCACACAGGCAAGGCGCCATCCCACCCCAGCCTGGACGCCTGGGTCCAACTCCCTGACATCCGCCCCTCCCACACTGCTGAGAGCTGCTCCCAGGGTAACCAAGCAAAGTCAACAGCAGCAAGGCCACCTGGGGACGGGACCCTGGAGACTTATTCCCAGCTTTTCCCACCCCTGGAGTGAAAGGGAGGGCCTTGTCTGCACCCCCATTTATGTCTCCTGAGATAGCCTCAGCATGCCCCTTCGCTTCTCTCTCTCCTGACTCTGGATACCAAAAGCGGCCTTTCTGAAGAGGGAAGACACCTGGTTCCCAGGGTGGCAGCAAGGACAGAGTAGATTAAATTTCACTACGGAAAATGTGACGATGTGACCAGGAGTTTGTCCCCAGTGCTGGCCACCCTGGGATTATTGTTGGGAAAGGTCCTCTGAGTGCATGTCTTCAATACAGCCCAGCCCCTACTGCTGCTCCCCTTCTCCACTTTCTCATTCCCACTCCTAATCTCTGTGGGAGTGTTTGGAGTCCATGCACAGAGCTTGGACTTTAGATCTCTTCTTTTCTCTTGCTCTGTCCTCAGCAGAGTAGAGAGTGAAACCCCCGGGTTCCCACTCCAGGGCTGAGTCTGTGGTGGTCATGTTGAAGTCAGAGTGTCTCCATCAGGCACTGACACTGACTCTGGTCGCACACGTACCCAGAATCAACAACATTGGGGCACAGGCAGGCAGGCACTGGTTAAGGCAGACCCACACCCTCTGCTTGGGCTTTCTCCCTCACACCCAGCCCAAGTCTCCTCCCACTCCCAGCTATAGTTCCTCTTGTCCTCCTCACTAGTCTCTCCCCCTCCAGAGCCAAGCCTAAAGGTGGGGACAACACAGGCAGCCAGGGACCCAGGCGCCCTAACTCCCAGAGCTTACTCAAGGCAGTGTGGGAGGGAGAAGGTCTTTGAGCCTCAGCACCCTCTACAGTTCCCTTTATTCTGCTCCTGGGACCAAAGGACCATCTGGGGGAGGCACAGGGAAGTAGAGACTCCTTTGACCTGCCTGTGAAAGATGAGCAAAAGGTAAAGACAGTGGCATCTGCTCTGTCACATCCCTGCTCTATCGGTCCAGCCCTGGGAAGATGAGAATACAGCCCCCATTACCTACCCTCGGGGGGTACCAGAGACTGGCCTTATTGAACCACAGCCTAGCCAGAGAACTCAACCGGTCCCCCGCAAATGTCAGGAAGGGACAAGCGCCAGAGAGAAAGGGTGGTATCACGGGCCCAGGACACTGACCTCTTCTGCCAGCCTTGCCCGGCCTCCCGGGGCTGGAGCAACAGAAGCCCAGCGAATGGGAGGGGCAGAGACCCAGGCGTCCTGGGCCGCCCCGCCCCGCCCCTTTCCCCCCCCTGCGCCCCCACCAGGCTCCAGGGCACCAAGGAGGGAGCCGGGCAGGGGTAGGCGGCAGGGGAGGGAGGAGCGAGGGCGGAGGGGGAGGAGGGAGCAGGGCTGGGAGGGAGGTGGGGGGGTAGGGAGGGAGAAAAAGAAAGAAAATATTTTCCGTGTCCCCGCCTGCAGAGTCAGTGTGCGGTTTGGGAGAAAATGTGTCGGATATTTTGGGGCAGTCACGTGGGCGGGCGGGCTCCGAGAGGCCCCGAGACGGTCCCAGCCTAGAGCCCGTGCCCCCCCCCAAGCCCCCCATTACCGCGAGCCCCTGACACTGCGACGCTCCATCCCCGCGACCGACCGGAGCCGGGACCTCGGGGCTCGGCGGCCTCCCTTCCCCCTCCTCCCTCCTCCTCCAGGTGAGTCAGGCGGGGAAGCAGGCTCAGCCGCCAGCGGACGCCTGGGTCCTCGGGTGAGGTGGGCTGGGGGCGGGGGCTCCGGGGAGCGACGCCGGTTCGGTGCCTCCCAGGGCTGGTCTGGCTGCCCACAGGGCTTGAGGGGGGCTTCCTGCCCCGACTTGGGGGTCAGCCCTGACGTGGAAAGGGAATGGGGCAGATTTTAGACAGGCTGGGGCTGGGCTGGGCTTTACCGACCCTTCATTTCGGTGAGCAGTGGGGAAGAAGAGCATTTGGTGAAGGTCTTCAGCCAGGGAAACTTGGATCCTGCTTTTGTGCTTGGAGTGTGAGGGAAGACCTCTGCCTGCCCTCCCTCAGGCTTCCTCTGGGGAGTCTGAGGGTGGATTTTTGGTTCAAACTGGTCCAAGTTCCTCCTTCCCCAGTGGAATGGCACAGTTTAGACATTAGAAGGGCAAAGAAAGGATCCAGAGGCAAGTAATCCAGCCCTCCAGTCCAGGAGTTTGGAGAGACAAGCGGATAGGACAGTAGTCTGTGAAGTTCCTTTGAGCCGAAGTTCAAGATTCCCACTCACATATCCCCAACCACGGTGTGAGTCCTGGCTCTCTTCAGCCAACGTGTGGGGTTCCTCGGGAGTATTACTGAGGGGAGACCGAAAAGAACAAAAGAAGAGCAGGAAGACTGGGGGGCAGGGACCTAGGAGTAGTAGTTCTTGAACCCCGCTAATGATGTCTCTCTGTCTTTAGCATTTACAGCCCAGTCCCTTCAACCTGACCCAGTATGTAAGAGGGACTCTCTGCAGGTGGCTGGAGGGTAAGAATGTGCATGAATGGGGCTGGGGCAGGGGAGCCTAAGGAGGGGTCCATAGGATAAGAAGCTGAGATGACTGTGCCCCTTCTAGGCCCACATCTAGGGCAGCTGCAATCCCAGGTCTGAAGTCTGAGGCTCTTGCCCTTACTGTCATACCTCAGATGCTGATTTGGGATTGTGGACCACAGGCAGTGTCCCACATCCTTGAGGCAAGAAGAGAGATGATAAGGGAGGGAGGGAGTGGGGGCAGTGTGTGCAAGGTACCTGGAGCTTGGGTATCCCAAATGGACACACACACGCACTCACACATGCATATGCATGTGCTGTAGTTTAGAGGCTGGTAGACTGCACAGGGCACACCCCCCACCCCGGCACACCCCCAACCCTGGCTCAGAAAGCCACCTAACTGGCACCTCCAGTTCCCCCTCTGCCCCACCCAGCCCGTGCCCTCCAATGCCCACACACATTCCACTGGCATTGCCTGCCTGCCTCCTGGGCACTGCCCTTCCCTGGGGCAGTGGAGGTAGGGTGGAGGGAGGGCACCTAGGGATGAGAGGTGGAGACTTAAGGGTCTGGACTCCTCTGAGGGTGGCACAAGGCCAGGGAAACTCAGCTCACCGCCGCCTCCTGGGGAGTAGGCTGGGGGCCCAGGCTGGAGCAGAGGATGCCTGGGTTCTCCGCCCAGGCTGGGGATGGGGTCATGGAAAAAGGTGGTCGTGTTTATACAGGGGGGAGGGGGGCAGCAGCGAGTGGAGAGCAGCCGACAAGAGCAGCTTTGTTCCAGACTCTGGGGTGGGCAGGGCGGCAGGGAGACGCACCCCACTCCATTAGGCAGCCTCCTTTATCCATGTCCTCCCCTCAACTCCACCTCAGCACTAAGAGAAGTAGCTTTGTAAGGGCCACTTTACCTGAGTCAGCCCCCCCACCCCGTCTTAGGTGGCATCTTAGGAGGAGAGAAGTAGTCTCTTCCTTCCTCAGGTACCCCAAAGAACCAACGCATCTGGGCCCCTACTTAGGGCCCCTTTTACTCTCTGACCACTGTCTTCAATTCCTCAGTCCCTTCCTCCGCCTTGGATTTAAGACCCTCTCCTCCCCTTCCCTTCCCAGCCAAGCCAGAGGAGCCAAGGCCCAGAAATGGGATGAACCTCTGTCCCCTTCCTCTCTTCACTCAACTCTCAAGTTCCTTCTCTGAGGCAAAATAGGAGGAAGGCCAGGGAGAGCCAGGCTGTCCTTCACTCATTACAGCTTTATTCCTAGGTAAGGACCAGGAGTCTAAGCATCCCCCTTTGGGACTCCAGGAAGTCCTCCTTCTCCACCCTCAGATCTTGTTTCCCACCTGTAGGTGAGAAGCAAAGACAATGAGTGCTGGAGCACAGAGCCTGGTTCCCAGTCTAAGCCAATCTGGGGAAGATGGGGGTGGGGGGTGCTCTAGTAGCTCCTCACCCTTGGCACTGGAGGGGTTAATCCACCTGGAATGTGGCCCAGCCTGTTGAGCTATGGCCCAGGGGCCTCTGGGGCCCGGACTCCTGGCTCCACCTGGGCTTAAAAAGGGATGAGGACTTCAGGGAATAGGGGAAGGGAAAGGAGAGGGACCCTGGGGGCTCAGAGCTCAGACTTTTAGGGTGGGGGAGACAGTGGACTGAAGAGTGTGAGGGTGCAGGGGGTATGGGTGGTGCCTAGTGAGGCACAGGGGCTGCTTCATTCGTGGGACTGAGTGAAGGATGGTGTGTTGGGGTCTGAGTTTCTGTAACCTCCATGACAATTTGCCCTCAGGTGTTTGAAGGCCAAGGTAGATAAGAGATAGAAAGGAAAGAAAAGAAAACAAGAAAAAAAATAGCAGAGGTACAAAGGGAGAGATATTGATCCTAGAAGCAAAGACTGATGGAAAGAGATGCAGAAATGCCCATCTCCTACCTCTGCACCTGCCCACCCCATGGTCTCTGTGGGTTTCACTTTCTCATGGTCCTTCTCCACCCTTCTTCATCTCTGTCCATTATTGTTCTGGCTGGTAGAGGAGGTAACCAAGCTGGAGTGACTCTCCTTCCCCAGCCCCTAATTCCCTAGGAAGGTGGGTGGTTCTGGAGCTTCTGGGAAAGCCAACCTTTCCCTGTCAGAGCACTGGGAGAGGAACCACCTGCCTGGCCCTAGGATTCCCATTTCCTTTCTCCCTTTTTCCTTTTAACTTCCCTGGGCTTTGGTTAAAACTCTCAGGGGTCAGGCTACATTTGAGGGTGAGGAGGATGCTGGGAGGGCTTCCTAGAAGCAGAGGGCTCAGAGAAGGAGACAGAGAAGCAAAGTAAGCAGAGGACAAGGTGAGGAGCTCTCATATCTGGCATGCAGTGGGGCTTCCATGAACATCTGTGGATTTGAAGGACAGGGTGCAGGAGAGGTTAGGAGTGAGGGGTAAGTGGACAAAGAATTGGGAGGGAAAACTGGAAGAAAGAATACTGAGGAACATAGAGAGGGTAATGCTAATGGCAAGAGAGGTATGGAAGAAAAGGTAGAAAGAGAAATAACACGGCTATATTTATATACAATGTGAGACACTTAGATAGCATTTAGTATGTACCCTATATTATTCTAAACACTTGTTAACATATTCAAAACATACATTAAATTATTTAATCTGCACAACAACCTTATGAAATGCACCTATTATTATTCCCAGTTGAGAAATGAGAAAACTGAAGCACAGAGAGATTAGGTAACATGCCCAATGTCCTGCAGCTAGCAAGGTGGGGAGCAATTGAGGTAAACTGGCTCCAGAGTCTGAGCACCTAACTATGGCACTACACTTCTCCCCAGAGAGATGTAGAGCCCTAACGTTGCAACAGAGATAAGTTTGCTTTCTTCAGGGCCATAGAGAGTTTGAATCTTGGCTCCACTACTTATAGCCATGTAACTTTAAGCTAGTCACTTACCTCAGTTTCCTCAGCTGTGAAATGGGATCATAATTCCTACTTCACAGGATTGATGTGAGGGTTAAATCAAGTGTCCAGCCCAGTTGTGCTTAATGGTCACTTCTCAGCTTAGGAGTCCTCAGACCATCATTCCCTTTGGCAACTTAATTTACCCTTCCCTGAGTTTCTCTGAACTTGTGTAAGCAACTGCCCTGCCCCCCGCCATGTGGTAGGGGACCCTAAGCCAGGCCAGTGCAAACCAGAGCAGCACAGAGGGATAAGACTCCCCCTGAGGGGGGCCATGGGGCTTGAAGCTCACAGTGATCCTTCTCTCACCCTCCTCTTCCTCTCTTCCTCTATAGGACTCTTGGAGACCCAGTGGGCAAGCCAGGAAGGGTGGTCACAGAGCCTCCCAGGCCCGGACAGTGGGCATGGGCAGGGGCTGTGGCTGAAGACCTCTTCTGCCCACTGCAGACCCCAGGGGATTCAGCTTCCCACACTGCAGCTGCCATGGCCACCAATAAGGAGCGACTCTTTGCAGCTGGTGCCCTGGGGCCTGGATCTAGCTACCCAGGGGCTGGCTTCCCCTTTGCCTTCCCAGGGGCACTCAGGGGGTCTCCACCTTTCGAGATGCTGAGCCCTAGCTTCCGGGGCCTGGGCCAGCCTGACCTCCCCAAGGAGATGGCCTCTCTGTGTGAGTTTCAGGGATCTTGGGGGATGAGGGCAAGTGGAAAGCGGAGGACATTTGGAGGGTGGGTGATAAAGAAAATGGGCACTCTAGTTAGCAAGGCAGGCAGGAATGGGGGTTTGATGTAATGGAGTAGGTGACAGGGTGGTTAAGAAGGGTTTGGATGTGGCACAAATGGAAGTGTTTGCAGATGAGAGTTCTTCTGCCCAAATAAGATGGGATAGTAGCATACCTAAAATTTGGGGGTCTAAAATTGCCTCCAGAGTGAGTCAACTCGCAGTGGGGAGCACTTTGTATGGGCAGCCAAGGGTGGGTCTGATGGGTCATGCTGCCTGCATGCAATTCGGGGTATGGGGGGCCAGGCTGGGAAGTGAGGAGTCTAGGGGAACAATCGGCTGATTCTGGGATCAAGAGTTGAAATTGTTCTGAATTATGGGGAGGTTGCAAAAAGAGGAAAGGAATCTAATGCCAAGTGCCCAAAGATGTGTGGGGTCAGGAAATTTTCCTGGTCATTTTGGGGAGGGTGGAAAAAGCTGCAAAGTGGGGAGCTCTTGCACCATAAGAAATCTGGGAAGATGGAAGGGGTGTTCCAGAAGCAACCTCCCCTTCAGTCATGTGGGTTCTGGATGCCTCCCCTCCCTCTGGGTCTGGCGTAGTGCCCACAGGCTGTACAGATCCCTGCTCGTCCCTCAGGCCTGCCCTCTTTGGGTTAAGCCTTTGAGAACTGACAGCAGGCAAGCCTTAGGCCTCTCCTCCTCTCTCTGTGATCCCTCCTCCTCCTACTTGGTGGTGATTCTTCCTGACCAGACCATTGCAGTCATGGGTGCCCATGTACTGGAGGGCTGGGATTCTGGGCTCTGGGGGAGGGTAAAGGGTGAGCATGTGAGTTGGTGTAGTGAAGGCCTCACCTGGGAAGAAGGGGAGCTGATGGAAGGAGAAACAGAGAGAGGGGGCAGTTCCAGCGATAGAAACAGAGATGGAGAGGAGAAGACTTAGAGATAAAGAGCATCCTTTATAGCTCCACAGCTTAAAGAGAGAGAGAGGTGGGAGAGAAGGAGCCCTGCCTGCCGGAGGGGCACTGGAGGGTTATAAGTATATGTGAAGGGGTGACTAGACAGGGCTGGCAGCTCCACTGGAAAGAGTTGCTCATCTGGAGAAGGTGTGTGTGTGGACCATATGCAGTTGCGTGTGCACATGTCCCTGAGACTCTGTTTATATACGAACTTCCAGTATGTGCAACAAAGAGGCAGTGTGAGGAGCGGGGCAGTATTTAGTAGGGCTCCTGATGGTGTGTCTGGTATTTGGCAAGGCTGCCGGTGGCATGTCTGTAAGTCTAACGGGGGTTATTTGGGTGGCATGCAGGTGGACAAGAGAGCACAAAGCTCTCCTCTTTGGAAACCTCAGCTGGGCTTCCCCTACCTCATTTACACCCCGTGAATCTGTTCCAGAGCCTGGGGAGGTAGAAAAGATCCACTCTCCCCACACGAATGTACTTCTTGCAGAGAACCACACAACTCAATCTTTTGGAACTCAAGATTTTCCCAGGTTTTGGGAAAGGCAACTAAGGGAGTGGGAGTAAGGAGGGAGAGGAGAAAGAGAATGGTAATGGGGAGAATGCTGAGAACCAGTAGCCAGTCCCCAGTGAAGTCCTGCTGGTGCCCCTGTGCTCTGGACACATTGAGATCAAGGTCAGGGTTCAAGTGAGGTCAAGGTAGGGGAAGGAGTCAGACTGGGCTCTATCCCCAAAGGCTGCACTGAAGGATGGGGGCTGAAAGGACAGATCTGAGGGAGGAGCCAGAACCAGGACAGGTAGCTGGGGAGGGTGTGGCTGGCAGAGGAACAGGCCTGGGCAAGAGGTGGCAGTGGGGTGGGGAGGAGGGGCAGGCTTGAGTCCAGATAGATTGCATGGGAGAGGGGGTTGTAGCACCCAGGGGTAAATGAGAGGGAGGCAGAGGGGAGAGGAAGGATCCTGGAGTCTGAGGGACCTCCGACAGAGGGAGAGCAGCCAAAAGGTGAAACAGGGTAGACTTTCACTTTTCTGACCCGCTGCCCCTTTTTGGCTGGGGACATCTAATGGAGAGGGATTGAAAGCCTGTTTGCCAAAGCCGCACTCACCTTGAGTCTCTCTCTTCACCTTCTCTCAGTCTATGGGAGGGAGGGCTGTTTGGGTGAAAGAGACTGGAACTTCTCCCTGGGGCTGGCTCTGGCTCCTATGACTAGGTCCCTAGCACCTTGGAGACATCCATGTTGAGAAGGGAAGCCTTACCCCACCTCTTGGGGTTCTTCAGGGTCCTGAGTGGGTAAAGCAGGCATCTCAGAACCGTGTGGAAAGGAGGCAAGGAGGAAGTGGAGCATGTGCTGCTGAGGCAAGCACAGACTTGTGGGCATGGGAGAACAGAAGTGTGTGTGCATGTGTCGGTGTGCATGCTCACAGATGTGCATGAAATCCTGGTGTCTGGGTCCCTGTGCATCTCGGTGTTTATGAAGACTGTCGTGTTATATGTTTATTTTATCCCGACTATAGGGAAGAGAGTGTGATGGGAGGGAAAGGAAGCTTTGCCCTCCTCCCCAACTTGAGATATCTGTGGTCCTAAGGACCTAGCTCTGTTTGTCCTCTGAACTTGGTGACAATGTCCCTGAGGGAAGGAGCCCAGACTGCACCATACTAAGTCACATGGAGAAACTGAGGGCATGCTGCTTAAAAAGAAACTGAGAAAGAGAGACTTAGACCTAAACAAGATGAGAAAGAACTATATAGGCCCAAAGGTGCAGACACAGGGAGAACCCAGCTGCTGGGAGAGGCAAGAACAGGCAGGCTGGTAAGAGTGGTGAGCAGGCAGCAGCGAGGCCTCCTCCAGGAAAAAACCACAGCCGACTGCCTCCTTCCCCTCCCCTCCCTAGTCTCTCCTGCTCAGACTCGGCTTCAGCTCCAGGCCGACACAAACGGGGCTTTGATTGCAACAGGAAACCTCTCCGGAGGGGGGAGCTGGGCAAGCCGCCGCCGCTGGGGCCCAGGCTGCACCCCCTTCTCCTGGCCCCCTACCCAGTCCCAGCCCTCATCCTGCCCAGCTCCTCACATCCCAGCTTTGGGCCCCATACCTCATTCACACCTCTCTATTCCCCCACTCTTCTGATGCTCCCTCCTCTGGAGACCCCTCCCATTACCCTTCAGGTAGACTCCTAGGTTAGGACTTACCCTTGGGGTGGGGCTTTCTTTGCTTTGAAATGCCCCTCTTCGTTTTTTTGAGGGAAGGTTTTGGAAGAAAAGGAGAATTTAGCATGAGGAATTCAGAGCCAGTTATCCTTAAGCTACATCCAGAAGGTGGCAGGAGAGGAGAAAGGAGGGGCTCACAAGGAGTTAGTTGTCCTCCCACAGTCCCTTGTTGTCCAAACTCATCCTTGCCAGGGTGGTAGAAACTTTGAGGGGTGGCCATGCAAGATTCTGAGTGCTAGTGGTCTTGTTAGTGGGAAGGGCGGACTTTTCTTTGCCTCCCTCTCCATGCCTTTGTGGGGCTCTAGCTGGGAGAGGTGTGTTGTGGTGGTGGGGAGCATAGATGGTGAAGGGGGTGAGTCAGGCAGAAGCCCCCCCAATACTCTCACCAGGCTGGTGGAGAACATCTGGTTCCCATGAAATGCTAGAAGGCTAATGGGTCTAATTGCTGCAATAAGGGCTGGGGGTACTTTGGGGAAAAGAGGGGGCACTAGATTTCCCCATCCTCTTACCGTCTCTTCAAGCCTTTCTAGAACTGGGGGTTGGGATGGATGGGAAGGGTGGGCTTGATACCCTAATGCCTAGTCCCTTATAAGGCCTCTTCTCCATGCAATGCCTGGGAAGCACACACAGATGGGGTGATGAGGAGTGGGGTACATCTGGTGAAGAGAAAGGGGGGCTGTTGAAGACTCATGACTTCCTGGAGCCCTCCCCCCACTCCTCCTGTGCCCTGATCCCAACCCCCATCCCTGTGGCCTGGCCACTTCTGGTTCTAATTACCAACCAGGCAGGCCTGACTTAATTGGGACCTTTCAGATTTCAGAGCGGGAAGGAAGGAGGGGTAGGGACTGACAGCCTGGAGTTGACTAATCAGGACTCTTTCCCTCTTGTTTTTGGGGTACTCCCCATTTTGCATTTACTGACTTTTTGCCACTGGCTAGATTCTGATTCAGAAATCTATCACACCCTTTTTCTTCTTTAATTGGGGGTGGGAGGAGTTGGATTCAGAAATGGAGTATCTGGGGTTGGGGGCAAGAACAGGGAGCTCACACTGGTTGGAAAGAGCACAACATTCCCACTTGCCCGCTTCAAGTCCCCCAGTCAGTCCTGCCACCCCGCGCCACCCCCCATTCGCAAGGCTGGCCCTCCTTTCCATCCCGGCACATACACACGCCCCCCATGGTCCTCAGAAGCCACACTGGCCCCTCCTCTACGCCTGCCTTCCCATCTCTCGCCTGCTCTGGCACCCCTTCCTGCTCTTTATTCTTCCAGACTGGCGCCCCACTCTTGCAGCACCCCAGTGCGCCCCCCACCCGGTACAACAGATTCTTAGAAAAGCGCGCCCCACCCTGGCCCAGCTACAGCCGCCATGAAGGGAAAGGGGCCGGGCCGGGCTCCGCTCCCGCTCCCCCGGCGCTCCCCGTGTGAGCAGCGCTGACAGAGCTGGCTGGGCCGGCCCGCCGGGCGGCCTGGCAGGCGACGGGGTGGGCGCGGGGGAGGGGGTGGTTTCCGGGAGTCACCGTCGCTGGCGCTGTCCTGGGGCCAGGGTCCCCGATTCAGCCCGGCCTGCAAGGGCAAACGCCTGACGTGGCCAACCCCCGCCCCCCTCACCCCCTTCTCTGCCGGATGAGGGCGCTCGGAGCTGGGAAGGGTCAATCGGGGAATAATGAGGCGGCCCTAGGAGATCTGAAGGGCACCAAGTGTGGCACTGAAGGCGAGAAGGGGCAGTCATTGCCAGTGGTGGGGATATTTAATGGCTGAGAACAGTTCACGGCCAGACTCGCAGTTTATTGCC